GATCAGCCAATAAGGACAGTTACACCCTAGTTGACGCACTTGCGTATGCCCCTGACAACCAATCAAAATTCAGAAACGACTTAATGACGATGCTCTAAATTAGAGTCGGCGCTCTTTGTTATTAGGGTAGTTCTGTTTCTAGTTTACTTTTCGGTTCATCAATATCTTTCATAAGTTTATTTAAGTTTTAGCTTAATTTTTAGTAAAATGAGTTTAACTTATTTTAGTTTACCTTTTGGGCTGCATATAGGGTCACTTTTGACTTTGACTTACAATAAAAGATACTTTCACATTTTCAGTAGCCTGACTTTCCAACGGTTTTTTTCCTTTTCTCGTCGCTATTGTAAAGTCGGACTACTGAAAATTTGAAAGTACTTGTTGTTTCCTTTTTGTAGTTTAGCTTTTTTATAGTTTAGTTACTTCCCACTACTTGCGTAGTCACCCATTTTAATTATGGCACGCTTTTTGTTGACAAACATTAGATTAGTTAAATAACTATTCCTACTTTTTCAACGTTATAAACATTATCTTTTGTTATTAGCAGTTCCTTTCCTCTTTATTGCTCAGACTGTATAATCTTTACTACCCCCTGTCCCGTAGTAAAGAAGAATGGGGTTTCGCTTGCTGAGCTGGGAGGTAAACTAGATGTTTACTAGTTCAACCGCTGCGAGCCCACTACCTCATGCCGGTGTGATAGCAGTTTTTCAGATTCTCCAAGTCTTAATTTGTATGCTGTCCAACGGTCACATTCTTTTCTGCCAAAACTCTTCAGATATTCATCGACAGAGACAGTGTTGCCAATGCTCTCGCGGGAATGCACGATACGCACACGCTGGCCTTTGACAGCAAGGCGGACTCCATTACAGCACGCATTCGAACCTGGTCCACAAATCTGTATGCCAGGCTTCACGAGGACTACGAGACCAAACGCACTCAGGAGCGCATAACGGAGATAAATTGTTTCATTGACTTCCTGCATAGTGAACTGGACAACTTGTAAATAGCTCCGCTGGGTTAAAAGAACTGCTAGACTAATCAGATGCGTGCATGTTCGTATTGGGAAAAGATCAATAAAAATGTGATAATAAATGACTTTTCAACAAGAGGTGATACTTTGGCAGCTGGTACCTTATTCAAGGTAAACTAATTAAGAGCGAGTCCAAAGCTTACCCTCACCAACCACGGTCTCACTGTCACCAGGTGGTACTGAAGTACACATCCATTTGTAAACCCACTACCTAAAGTAGGATGGCAACGTCAGATACAGATACAGATACACTCCCTCGTGACTTAGATTTACACTGGAGAATAGTATGTTTGTCCTGCCATTATTTGCCATTGCAGCACGACGAGTGAGGCGGTAGATACTGCACCAGTCTTTCTAACTATAAAATAAATCCGCGGAAAGTCAGACTGCATGGACTTCTTCTCAACGTGATCTCTGGTTTTTACAGACGTCTGAAATGTGAGCTGTTTAGTCGCATTTCGACTGAAATCCTGGTGCCTGGTTTCGAGAGGTTACGTCATTGACGCTGTACGTGCAGATTAATTCATTGGTAACATCAGCAACTGCTGCTATTACCCGCACCGCTCCACGGACGGTGGCTGGGGCCGTGAAAAGTGAATAGAGAGTGAGTTCAGTGACTCAGAGCATTGCCTCACTCTGAGCAATCTGGCACGCTTGAAGCTAGCATGGTGTGCTACAAGCCATAGAGCCGTAAAGACAGGGCCTGCCACACATAAATGACAGAATGTCCTTAAGTGAACGTTGTCTGCAAAACAAGCAGAACTCGGGGTCCGGAGAATAGGCGTTCGCGAAATAGCAGCGAAATCTTCAGTAATATATGAGGAGGACAGAGGCCTGGCAATTAACTACCTCGAAGATTAGTGGAGACATATTGAACTGGAAAATATACAGCGCCATTTAATTACTGCCTTCAGTGTCTATCTTACAGTTTCAGTTTCGTAAGTGTGCGCCAGATCAAAATGAACTCAGAAACGGTAACTTGAGGACGATTTAGTTTATAGTAGTACTAGACTTTCGCTACATCTACCGTTATCTTACCTGCCCTTCTTGGGTCTGCGTTCATTACCCAGTCAAGAAGACCGGGGATGTTAGATGATGCAGGTAACTGACAAAACTAAAACCATTCGCATCCGCGTACAATGCACCCTGAAGCTGCGCACAATGCGTCAGGTTTTCACGCCAACAAGGAAGTTAGGGTTCCCATCCCAGTCAAGTGGGAGCGTAATAGGTGCCACACTAGGAAGTAATCTTTAGAACCTAACCCTGTTTTAAGAGAACCGCATGATCCCCACAAGTAGCAGCGTTCCAAGCCCCGGCTTTCAATGCACCGTAATAGATTACGATCAGGTCATACTGTTTATTTTGGCAAACATGAGCCGGGTGCCGTTTCTAGACACAGGTCCACTGGGAGAGGTTTATTGTAAGCGTAACGTTTCGGGTTGTTGTTTCGTCTACCCACGTCCAGGGAATGAACACTCCGGCTCATAGTTCTCGTCTTTATGTCACTCTTTCTTCCGTGTGCGTGTTCTACCAATCTCTGCTGAGCCGCTGTTTGTGTCTCGCATCTCGCCTTCAGCCTCCTCGTTTACCCTTTCTGTCACCGTGTCGTGTGCGTTGGTTTCGCCCTCATGTGCGTTCGTCCCGTCGGCCCCCATCGCGCCTTGGCTTGTTTCATTTATATACAAGTCGACCGTGGAGTTAGTTGGCGGCCCCGATTGTTCCATGCCGTATCTGTCGTCTGCTACGAAGATTCTTAAAAGAACATATGGTCCAACACAACACAATACTACCTGAGCCGGTAATTTATCTGATGCAGAGACCTGGCGCAGGTGAATGGCGTGGCGTGAGTATTCATACAGGTGTATCATCACAGCTGTACGTTCACACCCGGAATAACTCCTATTGCGTCTTCATGTTGGTTTGAGTTAGTAATAGACTTATTGCGTCAAATCCGATGTTTTAGTCGGGATCTATGATTAAAAACTAAACGGAACCATTATTCTGCCGGATAAATGCCTTTCCCCGAAAGTATTTACAAACAACGGGATGATGTGTCTGATATAGTGAAATTGTCATGAAAACGTTTTCACTTGGAATGTATCGTCCTGATAATTTAGGAACG